GTTATTTGTCACTTGGTGTCACCAAATGTCCCCAGCAGAGCTGGGAAAGCTGCTTCATCCACAAGAGCGAGCGGGTGCCCAAATTTAAAATCATGCTTGTGAGCTTAACCCTCCTGTCACTGCTGGAGACTGAAAATGAATGTGAAGAAACTCCCGAAGCCCAGAGGTAGGAACAGTTTCCAGGTTGGACGTGCCCCACGGCACAAGCTGGGGGGGTGCAGTGCCGTGCTGCCGCCGGCCGCCGTGGGCTGGGGCTGGGTCGCATCGTGCCGGCCGGAGGGGGCTGAGGCATCGACCTGCTGCCTACTCGAGGAGGAAGGAGCATCTCCCCCACGTTCAGCACCTGCAGGTCTCGTGTAAGAAATAAATACTTCATGAAGGGTCCCTCGGGCTAAGTAGGGTGAAGGAGCTGTATCAGCATCTCTCTGAGGCAGTGTTGTGGAGAAAATTGTAGAGAGGTTGCTGCTATCGTGTCTTCAAAGCAAAGTTTCTGGGGCATTCAGGGAAGATGGGGTGTTGCGGAGAGTAAGGGCTGCGCAGCATGTACAGGTGAGCTGGGATTATTGCTAGAAGGCGCTTGAAACAAGAAGCGGCGCTCTGCTAAAGCTGGGCTGCCGTGCGCTCGGGTGCTCCCTGGGTTTTGGGGGACCGTGCTGGGTAATAACATGCATGGGTTTATGAGTGCAGTGGTTTTATCCCAGTGCTCGTGAGGGAGATGAGGCAGCAGGGAACTGAGCCTGCGGTTTGAAACAGGTTTCCGTTCCAGCCAGCCATTGCCCTGACCCGCGTACTCTGCCGGACTCCTGCCTCCTCAGCGCGCAGACCCTGTGCTCAGCATCTTTGGCAGGTCTGTGGCATGAATCATTAGGGTGCTAGGAAGCCTGTGGGCAAGCCGCATGAATATGAGGAGTCACGGGCATCGGGGGATGTCCTCCTGTGGGTAGCAAGGAGCCCTGGCAGCGCTCCAGGACAGCCCTGTGTTGTGACAGCGGGAACAGCGGACAAGTCAGCCCGCTACTGTATTAGCGAGGCATTTGGACTGCGTCATCGCCAGGGTTTTTTGGTGGGGAGGAAATGTGGGAAGTGGGAAATGGTTTTTCTCTCTGGCGATGCAGGTTATTTCCAAATCAGGTGGACCTTGCTACGTGGGGGAGCTGCTCTTGCTGGGATGCACCTCATTTTCAAAGGCAAGCCTGTTTTTGCGCATCATCTATTTAGCTGCAAAACACCATAAATCTGTACACCAGCGCTGCCAGCAACGCAGTCCTGTGTTCCCCAGGCTCCTTACCGGCCCCGGCTGGCCTGGGACGCAGGTGGCCACAGCACCAGCAGCGGGAGGAGAGCTGCAAAGCTGAAGACCACCTCGTGGCGTTGCTGTGGTCGCCTGTGGAGGCCAGCGTGGCAGCCCTGGCCTCCGAGAGCTGGGCTGGCCGGTCCCCGAAGCACGACTCGCCACGGCCAAGTCAGCCCCAGGGCGGGGGGGTAAGCTGGCGCACTAAGCCTGGTTCTGTTGCCTGCGGCTCCCAGCAGAGCTGGGTACCTGCACTGGGGGCATGGGTGGTTTTGCAAGTTCCTCCTCTGTATCCTGCTGCACCCGTACGCCTCGATGGTGCAGCCAGGCTCTTGGGTGTATCAAGGTACCACAGGCACAACCGGGTGTTTCCTTAGCGGGTGCGTTCCACGTGTGGTGGGGGGTCCAAAGGGTGCGCTGAAAACCAGCGTGTTCACAGCAGAGGTAGAGGGGGAGAAAAGCAGCGAGTCCAAGAGTTGCGTTTGCAGTTGCAGAGCCTGGGTTTTTCCTTTGGCATCCGGAAGAACAAAAGGACGCGGCTGGGCAATGCAGCCAGCGAGCTGGCCCACGCATGCCCTAGGGCCGGCGCGAGGACAGCCGGGCAGCAGCCCGCCGGCGGGACCCTGCAGAGGTAGGTCTACCCAACGGGGCCAGGTTTTGTCTGTCTGAACCTTGTTTTTCAGTTGGTGGAGTTGCCTGTATCCAGGCAGAAGATAATGGGTGTGGATTTGTGCGTAGTGCCAACAAATAAAAAGGCAATGGCTCAAACTGGGGCTGGGGGAGTGCCTGTGTTTGGGACCGGGGAGCAGGAAAGCTCCCTCGGCAGCCAGGGAGGCTGCGAGTCCTGCCTCTTTGGTGCGTGCCTCGCAGGTGCCCGCTGCCTTGGGGCTGCGGCTCGGCTGGCTTTGTGCAGCACAGGAGGGCTGGGAAGGCTCCTGGGCAGCGACCCGTCCTTCCCAGCGTTGCGCTTCGTACGGGGAGAGCCAGCAGTAACGCCGCATTGATCGAGCACCGTTCTGAAGGCGACACTGTAAAATGAACTTTGACTCTCGCAAGCTGCAAGCTAGAGAGCTACCCCCCTACCCCTGCGTGTGAAGAACAAAGCTGTTGCTTTTCCCCAAAGGAACAACAGCAACAAAATAAGAGGCTCCTCTCCTCTGGTGCGCCGGGGGCTGAGACAAGCTCAGCAGCTGGCTCGGTCGCCGCAGGGCTGGCAGGAGCTGGGGACGTGCCTGGTGTGGGGCCAGCGCTGGGCCTGCTCTTGGCCCGTCGCTTTTGGGGAGGAGAAAACAGTGAGAAGGAAAGCTCTTACCTTCTGACAGAGCGACTCGCAGCCATGGCTGCGGCACATCTGCTAGGGAAGAGCTGCTCCGGCAGCACCCAGATCCCTCTCCTTACGCCCAGCTTCCCTCCCTTCTGTTCCAGGCAGGCCGCGCCAGCTGGCACAAGCCAACGCCTCGCTTCTCCCAGCCCCGTGCCAGCTCCTCTCCTTGTGCGCGTCCCCAGATGGGTTTGGGCCGTAATCCTCCCGAGTGCCTGCGTGCCAATACTGCCCAGTGGGGTGAGGGGGAATGCCCCCTTCAAACTGGGAGGGAAGGAGCGTGTGGAGGGGGAGAGGCCAAGGCAAGGTGAGGCTTGGATTTATTGCCGCGGGATGACGACGCCGTGGCGCTTTGGTCCCCATCCTCTCTTCTTCCCCCGGCAATGTGTCTCCTACCGTTGGAAGCCAACTAAAATAAGCTGTCGTCCTGCAAAACTCCCTCCACGGCTTTATACCGTGGAGGCCAACAGCGTCAGTACGTACAAGAGCCCTGGCTCACCTCTCGGCGCACGCAGCCGGAGCTCTTCGCAGCACGCACACGCGCGGAGGCTCCCTTCTGCGCAGAACCCGCAGGTGCCTGGCTTGGCTGTCAAGGGGTGTGAAAATTACCTGGCTCTGATCTTTCCCGTGCCAATGTTGTTCCATCTAGCGTTGGAAATCAGGGCAGCTATTTTTGTTTAGAGCTGTTATGCTGTGTAACTGAAGTGGGAAAGATGCGTGCCTTGAAGTAGGTTTGAAGTAGTGAGTAGCAGCGTTGTGGAAGCCCTGCGGCGGCGGGTATTTTGCTAGGGGTGCGCTAGGTGAAGCCCCGAGGCCGCCCAGCAACATGGCTGGAGAAAACTGAGCTGCGGGAAGAGAGAAAAGGTCGGGGACCGGTTAGGGCATAAGGGTGACGGGAAGGGCTGGATGGGAAGGAAGCGCACGCCCCTTTGAGAAAGGCGGCCTCGGGAGGTGGTTTCCAGGACACGGGCGGGAAGAGAGCCCGAGGGAAGTTTGTCACGGTGGACGGCGCCCGACAAAAAGGATGGCACCTCGGGAGACGTGAGGCAGGAGGGGCCGGCTCCTCCTGAAGTGCAGGAGGTAAAACCAGCCGTGAAGGCGGCGAGATTCCAGAACTGAATCTATTCTGCAATCTACGAGCAGCAACGCTGTCTGGGGTAACCTTGTCATTATCAGACAGGATTTTCAGCGGAGGGGATGTCAGCAAGCAGGAATCCCCAGCCAGCCGGGGTGTGGGAGACTTGACTCCTCAGTGGGGCGTTCAGAATGCCAAAGAGGAGATGGCTACCGGAGAGGTGAGACGAAGCAGCGTCCCAGCCGTGCACCGAGTGGCCCGTACTCGGCCTGGTGACCGAGGAGGGAGCGCGGAGCCGCCAGAGCTGCGGCTGAAGCTGGAACCGCTGCAGAGGCCCCGAGTTTGTTGTGTGACTCCGCTGGCACCCGCCTGCCCAGCGCCCCTAAAGCCGCTTTCTCACAGGTCTGGCACGGAGCAGCTCCCTTGCAGCCTCCGGGTAAAAGCGATCCCGGACTCGGGCGAAAAGCACAAAACAAGAGTCGGAATCCAGGACAACTTTCTTTATTGCTACCAGAAGGCTTTCATCAGTACAATGGCTCCAAATACAATACCTTCCTCAGGGCTGTGGAGAGAGCTTACAATCGGGAGAGGTCATTCTGAGAAACAGAGGGGTAACATTGAAGAGACAAGTTTTTAAAGGTTTTACTCTTGGTTAGAAGTTACGTGAACACAAAACTTGAGGGTTAGGGTCTTTTGGTTTGGTTTTGTGGCTGGTAAGTAGACACCTTTCAAACCTCAGGCGCACGTAGCTGCCCCAGCACCTCACCGAGCGGTGCTGGTCACACGCTAAGCTTATAAACATATGGGAAAAAAACAGACTCTGCAGAATTTAAGGTTTACACTTGACATAGAGAGTCAAGGCATCGGTGAAAACCTACACTGAGTGCAACGTTTCTCGGTGCAAACAAGAAAAAATTACCGTTTTTGTTCTAAGTACTGCTTTCTGTGTTTGAAAACGGAAACTGTTTTAACTTGGCCAAGTCTCTGTGTAAGGTACGGTGGCCGGCTGCCCTAGTGTTCTTCTAGAGTACGTTCACACTCTGTGGTTATTACTTAAGTGTGGAGCAGCTTGCCAGTGTTGTTTTTTGGTTTTTTTTCCTGACTAACCTTTTATTTAAATCCAGTTTTTAAATATTACCACATTTAAACACCAAAGCGCTAACGAAACAAAAAAGGTCTTTTTCTTCAGAAAGGAAAAAGAAAGCTGTCGTGAAGGTCAGGGAGTACAAAACATCATGCACAAGACTTGCTGAGAATTAAGAGAGGAGCAAGCAGAGAGAGAGAGAGCAAGGAGCAGATGGAAATCTATCAGAGAGGTGTTAGTTGGCTGGGAAACCTGGAACGACTCTGCACGACTGATGTGAGCTCTTGGACGTGGAGAATGGGTTACAACACACAGGAGCAGAAAAACAGTAGAACTGTGACAACACTAGAAAGGAACAGGTTTTTGCTACTTTTTTTGTTTGGTTTTTGGGTCTTTTTTTAGATTTTTATACTTTTTTGTGTTTTTAAGTGCTTAAATAGTGGAACTATAATTAGCCGCACAAGAAAAAAATTCAAAAAAGGGTTGGGATTTTTTTTTTTTTCTGTTTTTTGGCTCCCTTCAGTTCAGCCTGACAAGGTATGGCCCCATCTCCCCCCACTGCGAACACAGGATGCCAGGTGCTGCGTGGTTTCTAGAGCAGCTATGGCGGAGCGGGTGGTGTGCGCTCACGGCTACATAACAGACACTGGCTGCAAAGGTGGACAAGGGGAAACGTTGCCCTCCTGCCTCGAGACATCAGCGCCACAAACAGAGCCCATGCTTTCAAGAGCCACTACCTCCGGAGCGATGTCTTCGTTGTAGAGACGCTTGATACCGTCGTAGAAGTCGTCCACTTCCATCTCTTCCACTTTACGCTTGGCAGAGGCTTGCTTGCAACCGCTGGGAGCTGGCAGACGCTGGTAGAGCGCAGCTGTAGCTGTGACTGGCACTTCTGGCCTGCCGTTGTCCTTGGAGAAACCTGGCCCTGGGACAGAGGAGGGCTGGCATTTGAACGCTCCTCTGTTACAGGTCACCAGGGTATGCTGGAGGGGACTGTAGACATATACAGAATTGGGCGGCAGAGAAGACTGCAGAGTGGAAAGGTGATGTGCCACAAGCTCCCGGCAGTGGATCAGCTGCGAGCTATCCATCTGGAGCGGGAAGACAAGCAGAGACGCCGGCATTGCGGGATTACTGCCACGGAGAGGAGAGGCTGTCAGCCAGGGCAGGGCTAGGGCTCTGAACACACCGGCCACCGGTGCGCCTCGCTGCTCAATCATACACTGGGCGCGGGAGAAAGTAAGCGATAAAGGACCAAAAAGACCCCCAACATGGCAACTTGGTAAGATACAGACCCCTGCTGCTGCTTAGCCCTCATGGCAGGACTGGGGGGTAAAAACCTGCCGGGTATTAAAGGGTTTCACTGCATATTTTTAGCAGCTTGAGCGTTTGTCTTTCCAGTACTTGCCAGACCACCCCGTATGCTTAGAACGAACGGCTGAGCAGCTAGCTAGGATGTTCTCCCCGGTGTGTTACTTTCTCCCCGATGCAGAGAGCTCGTACGCATCGGGGCACACGGCTCCTCCCCGTGTCACCCGCTGGATGCAGTCAAGATCAAGACTTAGCAGAACTGTCCCAACAAACTCTCCCTGCAGGCTGAAGCACAACCATCCTCGCAAAAGCGGAACTGCAGGCAGAGATCAGCAGCTAGGGATCTGAAAGCCCCGGCCGGCTCGGATCACCGGAGGAGCGAGTGAGACGCAGCCTTCTGCGGCCCCCGGTCCCTCCCCGCTGCAGCGTGCAGTGCCAGCACCCCCTCACCTGTGCCTTCTGGAGCAGCTCGATGATGAGAGCCAGCCAGTCGGGGAGCAGCTTCTCCAGCTCCAGGCTGACGATGGCCAGCGCCAGCATGGAGCCCTTGAACTGCAGCAGCTGGTAACAGGCCATGCAGTGCAGCAGCTGCTTGGTGAGTGCCGCCACGTGCTGAGAGGGACTCAGCTTGGGCAGGATGGTCAGTAGCTGAGGCCTGTTGGACACCGCAACTGCGTGGAACTGGGGGGGGGGAAACAAGCACGTGAGGCAGCTGGCGTCACCGACGGGCAACCCCACAGCAAAGCCACGTCAGACCTCGAGAACGGCATGCGACACGTCTTTGATGCACAAGGATCCTCCTGCTTAACCTTCAAGGCAATTTCCACGCCACAAAAAACCCCAATGCGTTGAACCCGCCAACAGCTTGGCGCAGCTTTTCTGGCGGGACCTGCCATCGTACACATCATCGGCCTGGGGACCAGGCTTCTCGGGGCTTGGCAACAGGCTATGCCCTTCCACCCTTCTCTCTCAACAATGCAGGCTGGGCAGTTCTGGCGTCCTAGACAAAAACTCCTCCTCGAGCAAGCAGAGAGGATGAAATTCAACAGAGAACCTCAGGACACCTTCCCTCCTCTTGTCTTACCTCAGCCACGGATCTGGCTCTCTGGCCGTGCCTTTCTGTAGCAGGCCCGGAGCACACCAATTGCCCAGCATCAGTGCTTTCTCCATGGTTGTACTTAACCATTTTCGTGCTGCCTGGCATTTAGTTTTGAGCCAAACCCCTAGCGATTAAGACTTAGGGGCGAGGGTTTCAGGAGCTGAGAGCCTTAGCGTGTGGTTTAACATGCCTCAAAACAGGTCAGACGGCAGGCCTGCGGTTTGGAAATGGCGCCCAAAGCGTCACAAGTCTCGTGTGAAATTCTGTGGCAAGGCTTTTTCTTTCAGAAACTACTTGTACGGAGGAATTACGAACACGTCCTGAGGTCTTCGCTCCCCTACAGGTAGAGTTTTTGTCTAGGTACCCAATTTACACTGACAGACTCCAGAAAGAATGTAAATAGCCCCCTACTTACAATATGAAGGAAATCCAGTGGCGTTGCCATGTGAAGATCCCAGTTCAGTTTATCCAGGATAATCTTCTCCATTCTGCGAATTTCAGCTGGAGAACAACCACAAAAGCTATCCCGAGCCAACACCTTCAGTACTGGAATCCTCTGCAAAAACCAACGCAGAAAAGAGACGCGAGAACCAGTCATTATAGAAATCACACAAAACACTTCGTGCCTGTCCTGGCAAGCGTCGGCCACCGTGTGCAGGCAAAGGCAGGACTGGAGGAGTGTGTATTCACACAATGCTAGGGGAGTAAGAACAAAAAAATTACCTCATCTTCCTCAATGGTCTTTGCAGCAAGGAAGAAGCAGCTGATAGCAATACAGTTCAAGTACTTTGGACGGGCCTACGGTACAGAAGAGCAGAGAAGTCTGTGTGAATGCGATGCGAAAATTAGGCGTAATCCTTTCTGGTCGGACGTCCTGAGCCCCAGGGTCTCAGCTGCCCGTGCACCGTGTTCTGGATCAGCAGGCTGACCTCCAACTACGCCACGGCGGTGGCAAGCCGTGCCAAGCAAAAATCCATACTGCGTGATGTAAGGCAGGACGGCAATCTGCCAGCCCCCGATCGTAACTGGCGCCCACTGATGTGCAGCGCTGGAGTGGAAAGAGCTCGTTTTTAGGCAGCGCGGTAGAAATAGGAAGGAGAAAATCAGAAGGGCTGGACTGTCACCTGGCAAAATAAATTGCCATTTCACTTGCTTCAGCAGAGCTCTGCTGTTAGGGCTGCTGGGGGTCAGACACAGAACAGGAAGGAAAAGAAGAGAATTTAAAAATGCTGTCCTTGCCTAGGAAGTATAAAACACCCATAAAAATCCCCGCTCATGTAATATCGCGCCGCAGTTCTCAAAACCGTGGCCCAGGGATTATCGAGGGAAAGCTGGTCCCTTCTACAGTGAGTTGTCTTAGGCAAGGTCAGTGAAAGTTGGAGGGGAAGGGGTGATTTTTCACGTGCATCAAAAACTCCTTTTTCTGTGCGTTGGTTGGGGGGTGAGGGGGAAGCAGGAGGCACGGGCTGCGCCCGTTCAGATAGTCCCTGTGAGGGAGCGGGCGAAGCACGCGCTCCGAGTGTGGTGCTGGAGTTCTTGCTTAGCAGCGACCTTCGTCGATGTGACACTCTGACAAAGGACTTGACTTCCAACATCAGCGTAAGAACCGCAGGATGTGTCCCCTTGCTCCTTAGTGGCCGGGGGCTAGGGAACGCAGAGGCACCTGTTCTAAACCTCGTCACAGCCGAGCGAGCAGACAGCTGCAGGGCTGTGCCCCCTCCTCCAACAGCCGACTGGCAACCGGTCCTCTTCCGTCTATGTTAGGAGATGCTGAAAGCAAAGGTGAGTGAAAATCCTGTGCCGAATGTGAAAATCTACTTACAATCTGAAGTGTTGCCATGATTTATTCTCGCTAGGTAAATTTTAGCAGAAGCAACAGAGCTGTGGGGTGGCTGAAGAGTGAGATGCTGCTCGTTACGCTCATGCAATGAGCTGGTGAGAAATCCAGAACACTGTCTCCAGAAAGCAACAAGAGAAGAACGCGGGATCGTGTCCAAATTGAAGATCTTTACCTGCCCTCAGCCTCAGTTACTTAAAAAGGACCAGGCTATGCCTAGAGCTTTGGCTTTCTGGTGCCATTTAAACTTCAACTTAAATACGTGTAGCGAATCCACGCTTGGGGGCGGGGGGTGTGTGTGCCCATATCTGCTTGTGCATTCAGGTGTCGCTAAAAGCAAAGAGAATAAATACCCTTAGGGCAAGACTGGAACTTGTTCTTGACCACCCAGACGGGTTCAAAGAAAACTGTCAAGTTAGCACAAAATAACGCATAGCGAAGAAGGACACCTTCTGCGTCGTGTTCAGGGAAAAGCAGGTGTCTAGAGCAGGTCCCTACCATCAGGGAAGCTTATTGTATTCTCCCCGTTATTTTTAGGAAGACTGGCTGTAAACATGGCTCTGTTGAGGGTTAACGAGTGCTGTGCAGGGAGCTGCACCAAAAGGACTGGGTAACAGCCTTCGGGGCAGCCAGCCTGAGCAATTTCAGAGCGTGTTCACGGTGAAGGGAAGGGACAGGACTAGTTGTCTTAATAATAAAATCCCGCACGGTAGTGCCTGGTAAAAAAAAAACAAACAAACAGGAGTTAAGCTGCATCGGAGGAGTGACGGCTTTATGGGAGAGGAAAACTGGGGGAGGGAGCACGAAGCCCTGAGCTGTTCGAACAGTGCTCACCCAGACAGAACACC